CACCGCTCCTACATCGGTGGGGGAGAGAGTCAGAGGTTGGTGGTCTGGCGTCACGTCTGCTTTGGTTGTGGTTGTGGGGTTCCCTCGCTCAAAACGAGCATAAAAGTTGTTGAGCTCGTTGAGGAAGGAGACATCAGAGGATGCGGGGGAGGGTTTGGTGGTCCTGTAGTCTGTGATGGTCTGGAGTTCTTGCCACATGCGTCGCGGTTGGAGTTGGAGAAGTGTTCTTCTACCTTCTTTTTGTAATGGTGTTTGGCTTTTTTGATGGCCTTCTTTAGATTAGCGCTGGCTGTACTGTAGGCGTGTGCATCTCCTGACCTAAAGGCAGTGTTGCGGGCCTTCAGGAGGAGACGAACATCCCGGTTCATCCAAGGCTTCTTAGATTATAGGTATTGCAGTAGAGGAGGATCTAGAAAAGCTCAAGCAGTTTATTCATGGTGGTGAGGTCAGCAGGGTAAAAGACTATTAAAAACAATGAATGGGAAGAGGGCTGGTAGCGTGTCAGCACTTTTGGAATTCAGGAGGCTATCCTGCCAGATAGAGTTCAAATAGGATGCATGAGCTTTCCTGTTAGAGCATATGTTCCCCTGCCCCTCGGGTGCTATAAATGTCAAAGATATGGGCACATCGCTGCAGCTTGCAAGGGGAAACACAGGTGCCCCAGGTGTGGAGGTGAACACAGGTGTGAGGAATGTGGGGATAGTGTACAGGATAAATGCAGTAACTGTGGGGGGCAGCACAGAATTATGGGCGTTGTGAAGTCAGAAAGAAGGCCATGGAGGTCAAACAAGTTAAAGTAGTTCACAACATAAGTTACACAGAGGCTGTCAACACGGTACAGAAGGCAAAGGACGAGACAGGAAAGGTTCACCCTATGTCAACATCAGATTTAGTAGAGTCCCACACACCTGGAGCTGATTCTGGGTAATCAGTTTGAGGATTTAAGCTCTGCGTTGACTCTCCTTCACCGCCAGTTTGTCAGCTACCTCAAGTTGGTAATTGGCTCCATGTTCCATGCTATTGGCTCTTTGTACTTCACTTAAGTTGTTGTCCTGTGCCACCACTCACCTGGACTCTCCACGCCACTTACCTTCAGCTGCAGCTTCTCTAGGACAATCTCTCCAGTCTGGAAACCTCTCTGATCCTTACCTGCCTGCCCTCCCCCATCTCTCAGTCTCTCGGACACAGCAGAGCTCAGGTCAGCCAGCTCATACCAATAACCTACCTGGCTACTCACCGCCTTTCCCTCAAAGCCAAGCTCCACTCCGGCTACAAGTAAGCAAAATACCAGTTATACTCACCATCTCCAAGCCCCCTCTGCGCTCCACCATCCTAACACCAGTTACTTCTTTTCTCAGTTCAACCACGAACAGCAGCTCATGGAATGAAATGTGAGTCACAACATCAATGAATATTTAGCCAACCTGTTGCTTTCATAGGTGATGTGTCACTGTGAGCTGTAGGACGGGAAATGGATGATGTGGTGATGATTCTTCATCCGATGTAAAAAGACTGAATCCTTACTAAGTTTAGAGAACATCCTATGAAGCTTGCTGCTCAGTCTGTCTGCAGGAAGATCTGCTGTCACAGGAGGAGACTGTGACCTCTGACCCCAGGTAAATGTCCAGCGCAGCACTTTCAGGCAGACTCAGACCTGTGGAGGCCGCTCAGTGAGGACTCGGCAGCATGTGAACACAACCTGAGCTCTTTGACAATTCTGAACAAACCGTGATTATTTTACCACAGAAAGTAGATTCTGTTCAACTGGACATTTTCAGTTGGAGAAACTCATCTAAGTAACTTCTTCAGCCTCAGCTGACTGCAGGTTTCCCCAACCTTCCAACAAAACTGAACATTTGCATAATGACTGAAACTAGCACCGCTGCTGAGCACTTCAGTACTCCAGTGCTACTTCCTGAATGTCCAAATTAGCCACAATGGGTGAAACTGGGGAACCCATGGCACACCGATTTTTTGCACCTGTAGTACTGAGCCTTGTATATGAAATGTGAAATAAAGACACAGTTCAAAGAGCAAACACTGTTTATAAGGTTGGAAACCTGCTGTTAATGAGGAGGTTCAAAGGAAGGTGGAGGTTGTTATCACCGTGGCCTCATGCGGTCAGGATGTGAATAAAACAGCCACCAATCTATTGAAGTATCTCGGTTTATTGAATTGTAATCAGCAGCTCAGTTTCAGTTTTATTTGTCATATGCAAGTTAGCACAGGGTCATCATCGCAATGAAATGTATTTTTTAACGAGCAGAAGACAATCACTCAGCAGAATGGTACAGTAGAAGAAAATAAAATAAAAAATAAATAGAAAAATAGTAAAGAGCAAAATATTAATAAGATGTAGTAAAAGAAAAAAGATTTTCAGTTAACTGACTAAATATATGTATGTATGTGTATATATAAATATATGTACACACTAGTGATTGAATAAAGAAAATCTTAAATAGGAATGTGAGGGGGGGCAGAGGGGATATTGCACAGGAATGAGCAGCAGTACAAACTGAACAGTACAAAGGTTTTGTTTTTTGTGGCCGTTGTTAGCGTCAAATGAGGTTCAAGCAAGAGTCTCTCTTATGCTGGGGCTAGACACATGTAGCTGATCACGGATCATTTCTTCTGTCCTGTCATCAAACTCACATTTAGAAGCAATTCAGTTCAGAGATATCAGCAACAACATTCACCTTGGCTGAAAAGTGTTGTTCAGTAACAGCAGAGGCGAAAGTATCACCTGTATTTGGCAGTGAGTAGAAAATCCTTTGTCCCTCTGTTCCCAAGCAGTGAAGTAAAGTAGCTCTTCTTCGTGCTTCAGGCCAAGCATTCCCTGTTGCATTGATCACAAGCAAATAATTGTTGAACATACGCATCCACATGTTGAAGGGCAAAGCAGGATCTCCAGGGCAAGGCAAAAACATCGGCGGTGGATGGACGTTTGCAGCCATGATGACTCAGCAAAAAACTAAGCAGAAAAACCACGCAGGGTTACTCGCTGCCAAAATGTAGCAGCGGCCGGTAATGAACCAGTCCTCATCAAGGAATAGTGCTCTTTAATGATTTCAGCACAGACTTTACATCATAGGGAGACGCATCAAGTTATCAGTTAGCCATCTTAACTATATTCTAACTCTAAAATTTTACCGACTCCACTTTACTCTTATTTCACGACACCACCCTCTAGTGGTGCAATATGGTACAGTCATTACAGGACACAACACAGGTGGACATGATCAAGCTAATGAAGTTTTATATTGTGTTTGGAGACCAGAGACGGGAGAGCGCCAGACAGCTGGTGGACGTATGTGCCGAACCAAGGGAACAGTGTATCGGGTCACGGTCCTTTCTACAGTTACCTTTCATAGCCACTCTAACCCTTTTGTGTCAAGTTCTGTGTATGTCATCAGGCCCACTCACCAGGTATGTAAACTTTTGATCAGGATCATTTGGGTAATTTGTGTAGTGATCGTGATTTAAAGAGTAAACACAGTTGTTTGACAATAAACGTCTTCAGCCAACCACTAACCATGAGTGAAAGAAAAACTTGTCTGAAAAATGGTTAAGAAATCATGAATTCTGCCAGGATATGCACAACAGTACAGCGTTTTAATCATCTTTGGAACAGACTCCAGTTTCAGTTCACCTTTATGTGTTATACATACCATATTTTTTGGATTATAAGGCACTTTAAGCGAAACAAAACAGTCAGATGAGTCAAACTTTACTTAGCTCATTCTTCTTGCTTCCTCCACTTCTGTACCATTGATTCATTAATGCTGTATTCTATCACAGC